ATCATTAGCTCGCACAAGTTTCGACTTCTGAGGTTTGTCGTTCGTAGGTGTGCGACAGCTGGTTAACGGAAAAACAGACTTTGAACAGATTTTTTTAAACAGACAATGACTTGACATTATACAACTAGACAATTTTCCTATATTAAACCATATGAAAATATACGATTTGATCACTGCCGATGCTTATTACTCCAATGCAATGATAGTTTCTGTTCTGTACTTTCCTCTCATCCACCCAGGAAAATATACACATTTCCATCTATATTCAAAACCTACTGCTAAATTTACCACCATTATACCCCCAACTCCTCATCTGACATTGAGTACATCACTATTTGGAGAGACCATACACAATCAACTCTGAGGTGACCTCCTACATCCACCATTTTACATTTCTTAAATTTTGCACCTCTCTGAAACTGAAGTAGAAGAAATCACATCAGCCCACTGTGTTGGTATATTGTCAGAACCTATAAAAAAATCCACCAAATGTGCCACTCCCGGAATGCAATTATTGCATGGCGGAAGTCGCAAAAAATCTAGGAAATAGTCATTATACATAAAAGGAAAAAACAAAATATATATACAAGTATGAACAAGAAAAATATACACAGTAGCAAATCACATTGCTGTATTTAAAAACTGGTCAAGAGTATATATGAACGAATTGAGTGTTTTATTCTTATAATGTATTTGGTACTGCAAAGAGCCAACAAGACAAGTGTCTTATGGCGAAACATCTAGATGTCTATCAGTGGGGATGACAGTATTCCATGTAAGTTAAATTTGCTTCTTTCATTAATTATATTGTGTAGGAATCCTGTGAATGATATCTGATTCAATTCCATTACGAATCTTTGGAATACAAACAGAATGTTTTTCGTATAAATCAGCGTTCATATAAAAGTATTTGTTTCGAAAGTTAAGTATAAGTAAATAGCTGTTTCGAGAGAGTTTTTTCTCCCAGTTTGTGCCTGAAAGTTATTTTTTTGCATGATCTGCGCATCTTTATATATAGAGTTAATTTTTGAAATTGATTGCTTCCTTTCTTCCTTTGAAAAATTACCAAATTTTCTGTTTCAAGATGGAGAAGTAGAAAGCCAAAATCTTTCTTTCCTATGAAAACATCTTTCTAACAGAAACGATTTCAATTTTTTTTAAAACAACGAAAGGCTGCATATTGACTTGAATTTTTGTGGTAAACAGTTGTATTATCTAGTTCTAGTTCTCTAACGTGTATCATTTGCTTTTGCCGAGTGTTTTTATCATGAATATGACTATTAAGGATGAAGTATTCCTGTTAGTGAATGTTTGGATCAAAATCAGAGTTGTTTTTCATACGTACCTAAGTATTTTAAAAATTTAGCATTCAAGCGACTTCTAATGAGAAAATACATTTTTCGTCGGAATCTTACCAACAATTCAGAATGCGACCTTTCCCAGGAGTACCAAGCTGCAGACATTGTTGCTGGGTAAAATTGATGAAATCTCGAATGCGGATGAAAATATTGATTTTATGGAAGCTAGCGATAATAAGAGAGTATGGACAAGGTGAATTATGAGGGTGAGAAAACTAACAACTGTAACAAGGAAAATTGAGAGAAGTATATGGAGAAATTAGCAACAGTGATATCGATATATCTGAAGAACCTGTACCTAAGAAGAAGGCTTTTAACACTTTGACTGCCATGTGTATCTTTGAGTATACACAGTGGCTTGGACCTGGTCGCCACGTGTTTATTTCAGTATACATAAGCAATCATCGGTATTCCGCCGCGTGTGTGCTAGAGTAACACGCTTTATGTGCATTTGTATTGAGGAATGGTTCAGCATGCGTGTGGCAATGACAAAATAATCTTAGCTCAGACTTTCGATCAAAGTTAAATATTTTTCATGATGAATTAATTACATACTTTCTTATCATTGTGAATGAGAGACAGTTAGTTGTTTTGAAGGGAACTTTATATACCTAAATATTAATACATTGTTTGAACTACAACATACATTTCTAAGAATCTAATTATTCATTTTAGGCAAAATATTATGTCTGTCAAAGAAGCATTCTAAACAGAGGAACTTCTCAATGCATGCTTGGCATTTAGTGGTTACTTGTTTGGTTTTACAAATGGCATATTTTCGATCATGCCTATCTTACCTTTTTCCTTTTATATATTGACGAAATTTGAGACGCCCACAAAAAGCACCATTGTTTCGTCAATACACAAATTTTCGTCTGGTTGCACAACCCTTTTGAATTTTGCGTTGAGTGATTCCACTATGGGTTGAATTTTGTGAAGTCGATCTCCAGGTTAACATAAATCGTTGTCTGCAAAATGCCACATCCGTAGTAAAATTTCAAACCTATTCCGAGACATATATACCGCTGCTTTTAACCAATATAAATCGTTATTTCTCCAATAATCAGCCAGTTTAGGTTTTTTATCCAAACCCATCCATATCAAAATTCCCAAAAAACAGAACATTTCTCCGTCGTCACTTTCCTTCCATTTATTTAGACGTGAAGATGGACCAATTGTTTCATCGGTAATACCTTTCACAATAATCTGATTTGCGAATATATTGGTTTGTTCGACAATCATATGCATTATTTCGTCATCCAAGAAAAGTAAAAAGTAAGTGAATTCATCTCCATTCTTCAAATCTATAATTTCTTGTGTTAGGCCTACATCTTCTTCAAAAGTAAAATTTCTCTTATTGCCAACTACCATTCCCCAATAATTTATAATATTATCATTCTCATTATGTTCGCTCTCTAAATCAGACTGAGACCCTGATGAAATCGTATCATCTAAAAAATAATCAAAGAAATAAAAGGTACATGACGCAAATAGTTTCACAACTCAATACCTCCAGTCATATTTTGAGCCTGTAAACTATTTACATTATCGTTCTCGTTATCAGACAATACTGCAGACTGAGACATATCTGAAAATGAAAAATAGTAACGTAAGAATGGTAACATCGCAACTGATACAAGTACCTACTTTCATTGGATCTCCGAGGTCGTTTAGCTGGTATTGCAGTACTACTTCCGCTACTAGAACTTTCCAATTCATACTCAGGATCCCTTTCTGATCCATTTTCATATGGATCGTCTTTACTCATATCTGAAATTTCCTCCCATAGTATCTGCAACCTACCTTGATCTCTTTCGAAATTACAATCAAAACACCATATACCACAAATTATAAACTGCACTGTATCACATTCAAAGCGGAAATGACAATTATTCGTAAATTGACGCCGGTGCAGACAAGAATAAGCCTGTCTGAACCGTGTATATCAACATATACACGTGGCGTAATACTTTTTTCTTCACTTTTACGCCACGTGTATATTTTTTATACACTAACCTTGAAGGTAATAATATCAACAAAACTCAAACATTCAACATGTAGGAGAGCGTTGAAAAGGTATTTCAAATACTTTACTGTAAAAAAAACACATAGCACAAGCGACCCACATATCAAAATTGGCGTGGCAGTCAAAGTGTTGATATACCGAGAAAATGGTACCCTCAAAAATTCAAGAAGGATTGGATGACAAGGTTTTCATTCATAGAAAAAAAAAAGATACTATAGTATCTTCTGTAAAGTTTGTCATGTCAGAATTGTTGAAGGCAAATGTCACATTTAACGACATGAAACAACCAAGTCACATGTCAGCAAAATGAAAGCTGCTAGGACCAATGAAAAATAAATAAAATTCTTGTTGATAAACCAAAAGTAATATTCAATCAGGCAGTGAAAAAAGCTGAGCTGAAGTAGACTGCATTGGTAGCAGAACACTATCTTCAATTTTAAGAAATGGATCACTAAGTAGAACTTTGTGCATCATCTTTTCCAGACTCACCTTTTGCAAATAATGTCACATTGAAAAAAAATTTATTAGGTCCTGCCGGTAAATTGGAACTGATTGAGTTCATGACAAAATCCATGTTCGGTTATACCTACTAAATGAAATAAGTTGCAATAAGAGTTTGGCAGTTGTCAGGATTTTCAAGAATGAAAAAGTGCAAGATACCTTCTTGTATTTGATAAAGATGGATTTCCACCTCAATGTATTCGCTGTGAATCCATATTAGACATTATATAAACTGGCCGTGACGTCACTTTTACAAAAATATATTCCACCTGCGGTCACACAACGTCTTGGCCACTGCTTCACGACGTCATGTGACAAATCAAATTTCTACATTTTCACAATGGAAATATGCAACACGTTAAACATCGTGGCATTATATGTAACGTTAAGTGTAAGATTGACGTAAATGCCAAAACGTGAATCTCTCCATCTGTTTTTAGTTATTGGAGTCAATGTTTTCTCTTCGATGACCAATTTATATTATGACGTTATGTTTGAACCCGATTGAGCGGGCAGTGTTTATGACGTTAATTGACGTAGTGTTTGGTCTATAAACCTTATTATAGTTCGTGTATAGGGAGGTTACGAAATAGAACTGACTTCAAACAGAGAATAAATGAAGTTAGGGAAAATCTGTGTTCTTCCAATGACGTCAAATATTATTTGAAACGTGTTCTTGAATTTAATAAAAAATTGATTTATTGTTTCAACAAATAGATGAGTATCAGTAGTGAAACAAGTACCGTAGACTGTATACTCCTCTTGATAAAACTGTATTTGAATATTTTATGGAGTGTACAGTGATTATGAACACAGGTTTATCTTGAAACACGACAAAAAAATTTTTCACTTGTTTTTGAACAAAACAGTCTCTGCATTCTGACAACTCAATAATTATAATTCATAAATTCTCTAGAAGTTGTCAACTCGTCAACAATAAATATATTCCAGATTAGAGGAACCTATTAAACGCCAAAATTCTGCAGAACGTTTGAACTACCCTGTTTGAATTCTAGTTTAAACCGACCCTATAAAAACTGCTCCTAATTCACCAGTCTTATTCTAGAATGGGTCATTTCCGTCAAAACTTATTCACCGACTCTGCTCGACATATTTTGTATTTTTGATCGACTTGCTATGCTGCAGAATTTAACTCTGTCAAGTTGAAGACACTTGATGCCCATGAAAATACCGTTTGTCTATTATAAGGATAAACGAACGCGCCTATCAAAGATAAATATAACATAACCAAAATTGATATATTATTATATACATGTTTATTTTATTTAGAGATATTATAATGAATTAAATATTGAGCGGTATGAGTTGGTGAAAATATTCACGATTTTTTGTTGCTAGCCTTATTAAAAATCCTCAATCAAATATGATTGTGACCTTACTATATAATAAAATCAAATCATTTATTTTGATTTTCACCAATCTCTTCAGAAAAGCCTTATGTTGTTTCCGAAGACGACGACGACGTAGTAGTTGTGATTCTGTTCCCCTCACTCATGTTATATCCAACATCGAAGAACAAAAACATGAGACTGAGAACTGGGGCAACTGGGAAGAAGGCTTACCCGATAAACCAAAAACTGTTCAGGATCATATTGAATTGTACCGAAAACAAACTCAAATTGCTAGAACTGACTCAGAATCACCTGACACTGAAGAACAGTTGAATTTCTTTGAAAATATGACTCCCAGGATTACCAAACAAACAAAAGTTTTAATCAACACTGATGAGGCCAAAAATAATACTATGGACAGATTGAATTTTGTAGAAGGAACACTAAATCCAGTAGTATGTATAAGCTAAGAAACATTTTTAAAGATGTCTCACCATTTATAATTTCAGCCCACTTCTGAACTGAGGGAATGGGAAGAAAGTTCGGGTTGGGAAAATGAAACTTTAGAACATGAAGCACAAAGAGTATTGAGAGAAAAGAAACGACAAGATAGGGAAAGAAGGGCATTAGAACAACAACAAAAACGTCATGAAAAAATGGGTAGGCCATTGGGATCTAGATTGAGCACATAAAATATGTAGCCAAGATGAATAACTCAAGATTTTTACCTCAAATTTGAAAGTTATTTTTAATTAAAATGATTCAATATGGTCCCCCCAAAGAAAGGTCTAGCTTTAATATATCTGTTGGATGAAAATCTGACTGGTTATTGTTTGACTTTAACTATGAAATGAATTATGAACCATTAGTTTTTGATAGTGAAGAAAAAAGTGAACGTTCATCATTACTTAAAAAAAAAGTGGATTTATGCACTAATTTCAAATCGTATCTGGAACCTCTGTTATAAAATAACTTCAAAACAAACTCTGCTCCCGCATACCAGAACTTCAACACTCTTCTCAATGCAGGATTCACCAACCCATTTGGCGTCACCAAGAGATGAACCATACTCATTTCCTGATAACGCCAACTCGGTTGGTGACACGCGTCGGGAATAGCGTTGCTGTTCTACAATTTAGCATACAGTTTTATTTGTATTATATCATATGTAGCTAGTTGTCGTTGAACAGTTGATTTTCATTGGCATTAGTCATGAACAAGTCATAAAATTTCAATAGTTACAAATGGAAAACATAAAATGTTATGACTTGAAACTGATGCATGAATTCATTTTTAGGAAACCACAATCCAATGATAATCAGTCAATTCAAATGTACTTACTGACTACATTTGAATTCATTTTCATTTCTCTAATAATTTTTTTTGTTAAATTGTGAGAAAAACGCCAATGAAAAATATATTTTCAAAAACCAAATCACTTTTGATTTTTGAATCATGTTAGGAGAGAGGAAGTGAACAAGCAAGCTTAAGAGAGTAAATGGGTAAAAATATGGACTACCAATTTGAGATTATTTTCAATTTTATTTATAAATAATGATCTGAATATGTAGGACTATTCAAAGTCAAGTCTGTGCATGGGGATCTCTTAAATGACAAGAGATAGAGAATTGGTTGACAAAGAAATAATTTTAGCTTTATTTCAGATATACCTATATATTGGCAATGTTCATGTTATTCTGAGAAATTTAAATAGCAACTATATTCCTGATAGTTTTGATAATTTAATGATTATCGAGTAAATAGCTTTTCAATATTTTCGGTGAGGTTTTATAATGTCTCACAACCTACAGAAATTTAAGAAAAAGTAAAACTTCCAGAAATCAATAATCAGTTTGTTGATGTTTTTTACTGATTGACTTCATGATCATGATTCATGAGATCATAGCCCACAGTAATATTCAACACCGCTGTCTCCAAAAAGGAGGAGGTATGAAACGTTCAACTTCTTAAAATTTCTGGAAGAAGACAAACTTCACTGAAAATGGATCTTTGGGATACTTCGACTTTATTCATCATAATATACAATAGAATACAATAAGATACTATTCCAATAAATGATGAATTGGCGGGGATTCAGCCTGAGCTGATAGGATATCAGTGAATTTTGTGAGAATCATACATGGTAATTAAATTAAATCCATTTGCAAAAACGTTCTTCACAGTCCGTCGCGTATTTCTGATACGTAGGTACCGCTCTTGGTGGAATCAATTGTGCTAAGTCACTTGAACAGTTCTCGTGAAAGTATCTATAGAAGAGAGACAAATCTCCAATCTTTTTTCGATGTTCCAGGCTATCAAGGTTGCATGTGATGTTCGCGTTTCCAATCAGGCGGATGGCTCTTTTCTGGATGAAATCCAGCAACTTCAGGGTATGTTTGAGGGCAGAGCTTTATACATGATAACAATACTCCAAAGAAGGTCTGATCTGAGCTTTACAAAGCATCAAAAGTTGCTGAAGCGTGTACAGTTTTCTGGTTCGGAAAGTTCCAACTAAAACTTGACCCCCCTGTAAGTTAGAAACGAACGTGTAATCGAAACTTTCAAAGGACACGTCGATTTTTATTTCTAGGGGGGCTAATTTTGATATGGAAATCATACCCGAAACCTCACCCATCTGCGGTCAGCAAGTACCCCCCCTATTTTTTTCAATAGCATGGTCGAGTGATACATCATTTGAAAGGTCTTTTGTCCCTCTATTAATTCTGTAATTTTTTTCGAAATTGGTTCATTCGTTATTGAGAAATTAAATGTTGAACGTTTTATTTAACAGAAGTAATATCGATGACAACACAATCAACGGATAAAGTGTTCAAAATGACCTCCATCTAGTTCCAAACAATACCTAAGACAGTCTACTTTCGAAAGCGTTATTGAAGCGTTATTGAAGATGTCTGGAGTCCGAAATCGGCATTCCTGAACAATTCTCTGTCGTAGGTCTTCTTTTTATCATATTGATACCTCACGTTGTGGTCTGGATGATTCGTATAAATTCTTGCACCAGCTTTAACACATTCACTATTTCGATAATAGTGTGACAAATTAATAAATTAACTATCTTAAACAAATTTATTTCCAACAAACTAATTTATTCATTACAACACTTAGCGACTAACGCTTAATTTATTTGAATTTCTTGTTTAGCCGCTCGATTCATTTTCTAAACTGCCCTCTTGGACCGGGAAGCCGGGCGTCTATCGGTCCTTTCTAGAATTCTGTAGTCGGTTCGGTACTAGAATTGTATACCGGCGATTCCCGACTGCATTCTTTCGCGGTGATGTCATGTGTTTGTTCCATGAGTCGGCTGGCGTACTGGTCAGGAACGGCTTCAGATTCGTTACAATAGGTTGAAATAATTTTTATTCTTTCTTCAGTAGAATAAACCATGTTGGAACACAGTGAACAAGGATGACTAAATAATAATTCGTGAAGAAGTGACAGTGGCCAACTATCTACTTTTTGTTCCGCGACAACTAGATTCAACAAAAACTACCAGGGCAAATTCAAAGTTTATTACTTTCATCTTTGATATTCCGCAAAGTAAGTTCTTTGTTCAGCAAGAACAGCAGTTGAATCCGAAACCTTTGGCAGACTCAATTATCTTCGATATTCATGGATTGAGTATGTTGTCTATTCCATAGATGGCGTCTTCATGGGATGGGATATATCATTAACTTTTTTTTACGAAAAGAAGTTGTTCCTGAAAGTCTTTCATTGGATGCTTTATTTCAGTTGATTCGGTGATTCAGTATACTGATTTGTATTTATATACAAGTGATTGGATTTATCAAAGTTCTTCTAATAGATCTTATGTTTCTTTGCTTACTTGATATGGGTTATGTTATCGCATAAGACTGCATCATAAGTCGATGAAAGCTGGAATTCAACCAACTGGCGAAAAAAAAAGAGAAAAAGCTTACAAAAAATTATAATCCAATACATGATCTCCAAGATCATCAATTATTGTCAAAATTGGTTTTGTCATCAGAGATCAGTCAGATATTCTCTAGCTGAAGTCTCACATGTATGGGATCCCTTTATAAAAAAATACGGAGTTTTGGGAAGTATCTATTTATATATCTTGTGTGGCACTCTCGAGTGAACGTGATGGTGCCGAATTATCTTTTAATTTATTTGCCATTAATACTGATACACTCCAGGGTTCAATTCGTAAACCATATTCATATAAAAAATCTACTAAATCAAATCACAAACTGCCCAATATACATAATCATACATACTGTTATTCTTATGAGGTCTTAATAAAAATGTGCCTGTTGTGCTAATGACACAGGAAAAACTGATACCAGAACAAAAACGCATCTCATCAAATAAAACATTCATTTTCGAAACCAATTATAAAATTAACATGGAGATTGATTTTATGTAACTTCGATGGGTTTAACAAATTACCTAATATATTCAGCAAACTATGTTCACTCATCATCAGTCGCAAGAACTGAATAATTTTTGAATTTGGCTAATGTTTGAAACGGCAACTAGGTTAGAGACTCTTAAAAGAATTTGTAAAGGAAACAATTTTCATCGATTAATTCATAAACATACTTTAGAGTCTAAGAAGAACCTTATCATTGAAATTATTGTGTTGTTTGCAATATTAGTTCTTGAAGTCCACATTGGAAAAAATTAAATTAATTAAAACATAATTTATAAATTGCTTCTATTTTTGTCTCTGTTACTTCATTCCGTTTTTTGGGCTTCGTTTTATTGTATCACCTGCAGCTCAATCTAGTCTTTTGTCTCCCTGCTTGATCTACATAGTATAAGGGAAGTGAAATAACCTCCTGGATTGCTTACTAGTGTAAACATGTATTCTATATGCTTTCATGAACATCTATATACTGACTTTAAGGACCACCCATACGAAATATTACTGTGATTTCCTTTAATTTAAAGTTGAAATAAAACCAGTAATCAAACGTTTCAAGTAAATATCTTTATTTTATAACTTTTCAAAATTATTGCCAATGTTATTTATAAACATACCACGATCAATTATTTCAACATACTAAGTGAACAAAATTAATTTAAAGAAACAACACACATTTATGAGTTCGGAAATAGAGTTTGGAAATTTCCAGTTTTCCCGTATATACTTGGAAACGAAAGATGTAGTCAATTTGTTAGTGTCAACTTTGCCACAATTCATCATACTCCTTTTTTTAAGGACAAAACACAAGCACTATAGGAAAATCCTTAAGACGCTCTTAGAACGTTGCCTGTGCGAAAGTAGCGATTAACATTGGATTTGAATCGCTGGAGATTAAATCCATTTGCAAAAACGTTCTTCACAGTCCGTCGCGTATTTCTGATACGTATGTACCGCTCTTGGTGGAATCAATTGTGCTAAGTCACTTGAACACTTCTCGTGAAAGTATCTCCAATCTTTTTTCGATGTTCCAGGCTATCAAGGTTGCATGTGATGTTCGCGTTTCCAATCAGGCGGATGGCTCTTTTCTGGATGGAATCCAGCAACTTCAGGGTATGTTTGAGGGCAGAGCTTTATACATGATAACAATACTCCAAAGAAGGTCTGATCTGAGCTTTACAAAGCATCAAAAGTTGCTGAGGTGTATACAGTTTTCTGGTTCGGAACAGTGTTTCAAGC